ACGTTGTAAACAAAACCTGGCATTTGCGCTACATGTCTGTCCAACCGTAATTCACCTCTTTCATATTAAATGCACCCACACTTATTATATAACATTTTATTCAGGGGAAACAGGGCTTTCATTTAATATCAAATATTTAGCTATGAAACATAATTTTATATGAAAAAAATGGGAGAAAATTAAGATTTTTTTTAAATTATTTTTTAGTTCTACATGACATTTTAACCGTCAATGTCATGATACTGTTTGCTTTTACTGCAATAAAATACACATATTTTGTATTCAGCAAAGTCTCATGTGTAAAACAGTACCCACTATGTACAGGTTTTATGGCGTTTTGGGAAGTTACAGGGTCAAATATAGCACGTTACATTTGAAATTGAAATTCGCCAGATATGTTACGTTGCCTTTGGGACTTTATAGTAGCCCAGGAATGAACTTTATACCCTTAATGGCATCTTTTTTGGTCACAAACACCGGCCAAAGTTAGCGTTAGTATTTGTTTGTGTGTGAAAAATGCAAAAAAACACCAATTTTGGCCAGTGTTTGTGACTAAGTGGCTACTAAAAAAGACTGGACATACCCTGTTTGCAATACCTTTGGGTTGTCTACTATTGCAAATGGTATGCCATCATAGGGGTAATATTCATTCTTGGGCTACCATAGGGTCTCAAAGGCAACGTAACCAATCTGGCGAATTTTAATATGAAAAAAATGAAACGCTGTAACTTTTGAAAACACCATAAAACCTGTACATGAGGGGTACTGTTATACTCGGGAGACTTCGCTGAACACAAATATTTGTGTTTCAAAACAGTAAAAAGTATCACAGCAATAATATCGTCCATGTAAGTGCTGTTTGTGCATGAAAAATGCAAAAAAAGTCACTTTTACTGGCGATATTATCGTTGTTATACATTTTACTGTTTTGAAACACTAATATTTGTGTTCAGCGAAGTCTCCCGAGTAGAACAGTACCCCCCATGTACAGGTTTTATGGTATCTTGGAAAGTTATAGGGTTAAATATAGTGCTAGCAAATTAAATTCCCTTTACTTTCGGCATGGGTTGTCAGGCAGGTCCCGCTAATTGTAATTAATTAAGATACCTAATTATGTAAAAATATTACATAAATATATATGTAGAATTAATATATATATATATATATATATATGTGTGTGTGTGTGTGTATGTATGTATGTATGTGTATATATATTTATTTTAAGGCCATTTGGCCTGTATTTGTGGGAGGGGCGTAAATTAATTCACTCCCCCTATATAAGGGACACCCCTTACCTGACTCATATCGCTTGAGGTCAGCATCAGAATGATTTCCACTTCCATAAGACGCACATCCAGACGCCATTTTACCTGATTACTCCATGAGGTTTTCTAAGCTGAGTTGTGTCAGGAATTCAGCCACAGGCTTTTCCGGCCTTCCACATTCTTTCTTCAATCTATCGCTGTGGATGGTGTCCAAGTGGCTCACAAACCGTAAGTCGACCTACCCGTTACGCCAGGCATCAGTCCCACGGCACCATGCAAGGGTCAGGTCCTCACTTTACGGCTGCATTTTGTCTAAATCTGTCCTAAAATCATTGCATGTCCATGCATATCATTCGTTTAAATTCACTTGTTTATATCTGTCACTGGCTCATTTCAAGCATTAGCATACTCCCAAACGGGAACACATTCTGTTTCAATTGCCTAAACATACTAGGCAATTCTGTGCGTGCATTTCGAATCTCACTGCTCATTTCGTTTTGTTTCCCTGACATACCAGGCTCACGGTTCGTGCACTTTTCTACCAAACGAGTACTAGTTCATGCATTTACTATTGTACTACACACACGCTTCGTGCGTTTACAACCCACGAATAGAACTTTGGTTTGTTACAATGACTGTTATTAAGCTATTATGTTCACTTATTGTATATTGTCAAACGGGCACTTTGTTTCCCTGTCACACAACTATAATGCTGGGGCATAGCTCACAAACAATGTTTCACATAAACCACACTGACTCCTACAGGTCACTCTCAAAATCTCACGTTAACCTTGCATTTGGATTAACCCCTTAAGGACCAAACTCTGGAATAAAGGGAATCATGATGTGTCACACATGTCATGTATCCTTCAGGGGTTAAAGGGTATTTTACCATACAATCAGCATTTCTGACCCCTACTGGTCAACAGCAAAACTGTCTTCACATGTCATATACCATTACCAGCCAATATAAATTACACATAAGATTGTTTTAAACATAACCATAAACCATGAATTAAACTCCAACACGGGCTCAACTTCAGGTTTAATTCACAATAATTTACATTTCACATTAAGACTAACAGTGGTTCTATCAACACTGCCACCTACAGGTCTGTCAAGTACATTGACAATTTTCATGGGGTTTTTCATGGGGTTTTACAAACACCAAAACACTGACCCCTATTGGTCAACAGACAAACAACATTTCACATACCAATCAGTATCAACTACACTGCCACCTATAGGGCACTCTGCAGATCTCCAGTGCACTTGCATTTTGCAACTCCATGTTCACTTGCCATTCAATAAGGCATACAACAATTCACATAGCAAGCAGTATATCAATATCTTTTATAAATACACATATTATTACACAGTAGCACACGCATCTGTATATACGTAACTGGTAATATGGTTCACATACATACGGCACTTAATGGGTTAAGATTGATACATATTTAACCAGTATCGATATGATGTTTAATATTTACACATCACAGCACTTTACTTTCACATATACTGTATGTTTTAAGATAAGCTTGGTCTATGCCATACGATTTTATCCATTCAGGTTACAGTTACTACTAAAAAACCTATACGGATTGTCAGGTTCAATACCATACTACCAGGTACATACACCTGCTCACGTAGTTATCCATCTCTTACCTTCCCTGGAATAGTAATAGTGTACTGGCAATTAGGGTTCTAGGGCCCAATAGGTGTTACCCCCTGTTTTCTCTGCTTTACGCTTTGGTTAGTGGTCCCGTGAGGCCAACACCCCACCTCACACTCGGAGGCATACACCCCTCGGGCCACTCGTGAGCTAGCCGCCTCGCATTGTATCATAGAGAGGGCCTCACCTGTCACTCCCCTTCCTATTTTTCTGGTTACTGTCACCGAGAGGCCAACATCCTGCCACAACGTTCGGTGGCCACAAAAAATCCCCTCGCGCCAAGCATAGATAGAGCCTCTCAAGCCACTTGGCAACTAGCAGGGCCTCACAAGTCACCAAAAAACACCAAGCATAATCGTTTCGCCTTACGGCTTAGCTAGCAAGCCAGTACAAGACCCCTGGGTACAAATAATAATTGCAATCTTTATTGTTATTTAAGTATTTCTCAAAAAGATGGTGAAGAATCACCTCTTCCTGGCACCCCGGCTAGAAGTGATACACCTTCAAGCAGAGGAGATGTGGCTCCGACCTAAGGAGGCGACAAATCCCCTTAGCTTAGCTCCTGACGACGGCGTGTATGCACGCTGAAACGCGCGTCGAGCGCCTTATTTGATTGATCTTCTTTTTTTTTTCTCACATTAGGTAGCACTTAGGTAGTTAGTATGTTTGATTTAGTTAGTTAGTATAGTTAGCAATTTATTATTTGGCATTTAGAGTTTTTCTAGGCAGGCATTTTTTGGTCCTGGGGGCTCTCCTCTGGACTTAGGGCTTGTCCTTAGTGGGTCTGCCCCTGTCCTCCTTTGCTCTCTTTTCTCCTATGCATGTTTGTATAGGCTCCTGTTTGCTTGCCTTTATATTAGTGGGGTGATTTATGTATTACACATATTTTGTGTTGCCTTATTGTATTTTTGCAGCTTAGGTGTCCTAATTTTGGACATTTTATCTAGTATAAATGCTAGAGTCTCTTTTTTTTTGTTTTTTGTTTTTGTTAAAGGGACATTCCTTTGCTGCTATTAAATACAACTAGCAGTGGTTTATATAGGGTATATATGGGTATTTCGATTTATCCCCCTTCACCCTTTTATCCATTTACAAGTACAGCCTCCTCTTTCTCTCTACTTGCCACCTGGTAACTATACTATTTATACTGTTAAGTTCAGCAGCTACTTCTGGGATCCCCTTGTTTCAAGGGTCTCCGTCATTCAACTATATTTATTTCTGGGTTACCCCCTATATTGTAGCTCTGAGGTAGGCTCTTTTTAAGACAGCTCTCACCAGATCACATATATATAATTTCGTTCTACGTGTATTTTGATATATATTAATTTCACAATACAGTTAGAACGAAATAACACACATCTATATATTTTTTAATTATTTATTTTTAATTTTAAAATTTTATTTTTTAACGTGTGTATGTATGTATGTGTGTGTATATGTGTGTGTATGTGTGTGTATGTGTGTGTATATATATATATATATATATATATATATATATATATATATATATATATATATATATATATATATATATATATGATCTAAGTATATAAAAATTTTTTTTTTTTTTTACACTTTTAATTTTATTTGATTTCCCCCCCCCTGCTGGCAATGCTGCAGCCAGCTATCCCGGCCATGTGATTGTGAGGTCTTCGCAAGGACCTCACTCTCACATGGCCGGGGGACTTCCAGGGGGACTTCCAGGGGGTCGGACGTGCCGCGGGGAGCTCCCTGGGAGTCCCCCAAACCGCCGGCGTGGGATTGCCGGCGACCGGGTAAGTAAGAAAAGACCGGAGGGCATACTATTACGCCCGGTGGCGTTTAGAGCCGCTTAGAATAGGGCGTAATAGTACGCCCTCCGGTCTTACATATAACAACATATACTTCTTGAAATGGAGACATCTACACTTTTAACAAAGTTTAACATGCATTTTTTTTACATTTAAATTACAAAAAATCAGGTTGTTTATGACATTTTTCATTATAGCATTTGTGATTATATCTTATTCTTACTTACCCATTTTAATAAGTCTGTGTAACGCTTTGACGCAGGTGGAAAAATGTCTGATTACCGGATTCGTCTGTACCAGGACTCGGACTATGACAGGGCGAGAAATCTTTTTGCACAAGGCACCCTGGAGCACCATCGAGTGGCCTTCAACCATGCCTTCACACTGCCACACATTTGGATTATTATGATTGTCGTTTTAATTCTTCCGATACTAATATTCCAATCATTTATGTTGTCCATTCTGTGTGTTCTCCTGCCATTAGTTGCTTTGTGGTTTGGTACTAGAGATCTGTATGGGTCCTATGTTAAACATGCCCTTTCCGATGACATGTTGGATGTCAAGAAGTACTACCTGCAGAGGGATGGTTACTGCTTCTGGGTGGCTGAGTCTGCTGGAGAAGTCGTGGGTATTGTAGCAGCTACACCATCCTTTTACGCTGGAGGAGAACGGCACCTAGAGCTAAAGAGAATGTCAGTTGCCCAGAGCCATAGAGGCAGAGGGATTGCAAAGGCCTTGTGCAGGACGCTCATTGATTTTGCACGAAAACGTGGGTGTGAAGCCGTGATCTTGGAGACCACCACTGGCCACCTGGCAGCTCACGTCTTGTACCAAAGCATGGGATTCAAGTTTCAACATTCAACTTTTCTAAAACACCCTCTTGCAAAAGTTGTGGATTTTAAGTTTTTTTTATACAAATTTGACATTCCAAGTAATCAATGAACAATTTTCTTTTGAAATACCTCTGATGCCTCCTTTATTGATTATACTATGATGGTGCTATGTGTGTGGACTATCTGGCCCATAAAGTATCTCCAGAACCAGGAATGATATGCAAAGACAGTAATCACTGTATATGTTTGTGTCTCGTTGAGTTGGAACATTATTTGTTTAAGAAGAAAGCAAAGTAAAATCCTACAAATATAACCAATCTAAAATAAACATATTTGTTTAGAAAACATACTAACATGTAAAGAGATTAACTGAGAGGGAGACATGTATGTACGTAGCCGGGAATGTGGTGCGACTTAAAGAAAGAGACTAACCACTTATCCCCCCAATAACGATAGACAATGCATATTGGATGAAACACAAAAAATACTATAAAGTTAGAAAAATTGGAAAAAATTGATGATATATACACACTGGAATTGATAATATGTACAAGCTGGAATAAACCAATAAAGTTTAGTAGAAACAATACATTGTGAGTCTACTATTGTAACTTCATTGTAACTTCATGTTAATTAAAGAGAGTCCCTGACCACATCAAAGAATTAAGTGTTAAATTACTGTATCTGCAAATTCAAACAGATGTCATCCAGATGAGTAGGGTAAGTGGGAGAAAGGGGAAAAAAACAAAAAAGTAAAAAAAATAATAAAAAATGAAAAAATACAAAAAGTGCAAAAATGGAAAAAGTAAGTATATACAGTCCCAGTGTGTACACACTATAATGTTATATGGGTGGATCTCACCAATGGAAGAAAAAATCCAGTAGTTCAGTTCTCAGTATCTCTTAATGTAGTGGTGAAATCCCTGTTGTTGGTGTTGATGTTAATCTTGCTTTTCTGTTTCAAATAATATGTAGAAAGAAGTTCCCCACTTGTCCTGGAAGCACTAAGGTATGTCTTCTTATCAGCTGGTCAGCGGGTCTCACGGGCGGGCTGCGGGCTCGGGATCTGAACGCATCCCTTCAATGGCCCTGTCAGAAGAAAAGATTAATGAAAGTCCCATACTTTTATGCAGTTTGGCGCGCCCACGTGGATGCGTGAGTCGCGCCTTGATGACGTCATGACGCTCGCGTCCACGGGTCGCGTCTGAATGACGTCATGACGCATGCGTCCGGTATCTATGCCCGACGTGTGTCGTTTCATTATGCAAATGTCCACATTCTTGTATAGTTGTGTATGTTCCAATTAACTTGTTAAATGCATTACAGACAAAGTTTAATAAATACATATATACACATACAGTCCTTTACCTGAATCTGCATGAATGGGAAAAAACAAGTTCCCTAATGTATATTTACATGGGAAAAAGAGCTATATACATTAAAACAAAAATCATAAAATCATATTAACATGAAGTCCTTAGATAATTAATTATTATAATAGGATTCTTAACCAATAAAAGAGTACTAATCATATTTAAAGGTGCTCAAGGCTTTATTATATACCTGGTTAAACTGATCAAGAATAGAGCTACTTATTGTTTTATGTAAATAAAGTTAAGATGATTAATATAAAAGAAGTATGGCTCAGACTGAATCTTTTCTTTTATATTTTAGTGGCACGGATGAATCAATAAATCTAAATATTGAAGTTCTTCTTTGTAAATATAATTTCTTGAAAAAAATGTGTCACTATTGTGAAAACCATCACTTCAAAAAATGTCTCATAGGAGTCCAAGAAGTTATATAGGCTAAAGATGTGACAAAATTGCAACAGATAATCAGCGGTAACCATTCGCCC